TAAACAGAAGATAACTAAATACAGCAATGTAATACTAATGTAATTACTGATAGTTAAATGAATGATTTAGCTAACTTTAATGATGGTTATAAATCAATTATTTGTTTTCAGATTTTGAGGACTATATGTTTGGCATGTAAGCTAAAGACTTTGGAGATGTCTTAATACAGGGCAGAGAATCTTCTGCAGAGCCACAGCTCTGCAAAAAGTAGGGATTAATAATAGTGTGAAGTAGATGGCTTAATCTAAATTACAGCCTATGTCAATATTCTTACTTGGAATTGAAGTACTCTTGTTTTAAGTAATTTTCCGTAAAGAAAGAAGCAAAGTTCAGTTTTCATGCACGTTATAATTTCATGCACTTTGTGACAGGGCTTACCTGAATGAAAAGTATCTTGGTTTGCCTGCACATGGGCCTTTACTGAGTGAATGTTCACTCATTCATTCATAAGCACAAGTAACCCTGTACTGTGTGGGAAAGCAGGAGTGTATTTGCATGCTCGGTGGCTCACTTTGTAAACACAATCCTTATGTGACAATTTAAAATTGTTCGGTTTTTATCGCTTTGAGACAACAATAATTCTTTTCTTAGAAGTCTTACCCAGATAGTCATCCAAGGAGAACTTGTCATTATCCCATATTTGAATGATCAGTTTGGGTGGGATTCTGAACTCTGTCTTGTCAAGACTCCAAAAATGTTCCTAAAATTTAAAAAAACAAGACCCAAGCACCTTTTTAAAATCACTTATGGAAATTCAAAGCTGTGGTCCATTAGTACTTGCAAATCCTGGGGTTGGTGGAAGCATTTAGGATCTAATCTTGCCCTTGTTAAGAGGAGACTGCTGCTGTTTTCAGTCTGTTGTTCCTGACTCAAAGGCAAAATAGAATCTGTCTGCAATAGAACACTCTCTTTCAATATGTATGTACAAAATTATCAGCCTAATTACAGTCTGTATTCTAAGTATTGAAACCTTTAGAAATACTTACCTTTTTGGAAACTAAACAGAGTTGCTCTGCAGGGAGATAGTCAAAAGGAAAAACAAATCTCCAGTTAAAGTTTCCTTCACCGTCCAATGATCGGTAGTGAACATCGGTTTTCTGCTTATTTTCTTCATTACCAGGCATCCATCTGAAAATAGAGAGATATGTGTCTGGTGTTTGCAGTGGGACTACACTGGTGCTTGTTTGTACTGTAATCATGTCCTTAAGTGGTTGCAAACAAGCCATAAGAGTTGCTCACAGAGGGCTGGAGAGCCTTTCACACCCTTTCTCGATTTGGTTGAATTTGGCACTGTGAATAGGAACATCTGAACTGAATTTCTGATCTGCTAAGACCAGGACTGTATCAGTGGTGAGTTATTGGCAGTTTTTTAAAAATTCTTTTTTAGGAGAAAATAGATCAATAGCCTAGTAGTATACTTTTCTGATTTCTATTGAATTTTTTACATTAACACCAGGAAATAGAAAGTAAGAAAACAGGTTATGCAGCACCAAAGCCAACTTGCTGTCTTTTCAGTTGCTTCCCCTCTCAAGAGATGAATTTCTGGGATCTTTCACTGCACATTAACTGGTGATGCTTTATCTCATAATACTTCCGTGCTTTTCTGAGGTGAGCACTATTTCAGAGGCTGTAGTGTGCATTGACTTGGCTGAACCAAATCACATCTGGAGCCCATAGTCTAGGCATTCCCAGGACATTCTGAACGTCATTGATTTGTAAGTGTTACATGACAGAGTGCTCCTACCCCTTCACATAAATGTCACTCATTTCTTCCCCTGTGATGCTCTTTTCATCCAGAAGGACATCTTTCGTGTTCCAGACAATCACTCGCAAGATATACCTAAAAGAGAAGTTGTTCGGGGAAAGAGAATTGAATTGCTTTTGTCAGGGCTGCCAGATGGTGTGTAGTATATACAGATACTCACTTCTTGGCTTTTCGGGGAGCGATATTGAAGGGAGGGCCTGGTGGTCCTAAGCTTTTGGGGAAAATATCAACCCACATCTGGAGCTTTCCCTGTAGCAGTGGAGAAAACAGACGAGTGATTGTTGCATACAGGTTTGTCATGGTAATTCCATGGAAGTGCTTACTGACATGCTTAGTACTAATTTTAGCCACAGAGCAGAGCTCACTCAAGTTACCAATGTCAGAACTTCTACAGACTTCAGATAGGAGCAAGCCCACTCCCTCATGTTATATAAGCTTCTTTGCTTTTTCAAATGAACAATGCCAAGAATTGCAAAGATGGTAGGGACATTAATTCCTAGCGAATTCAGAGCAAGTTAGGTGCCTAAATAGTTCTCATTCTGCAGGTGCAAGTTTCTGTTCTCTCAGAGGTGGTGTTGAGTACAGTGTCATATAGGTGGCTGATAGTTTGCAGCTGATGGCCTATGCAGCGTAGATGATCAGTGCCCTTACGCAGACTCTGAAGTAAGGCAACCACTGTAGATTTTATACTCTATTTCAAATGCAAGCCCCTTTATTTTTGCAGACAGGTTTTCTGGTTGCTGCAGAAACTTTATTTAAAAAAACAACCACTGGAGAGTTAGTAAACGCTGGAGTACAAATGTCAGCCTTCGTTCCTCTCTAACAGAGGTGTCCAATATAAGACTTCATGTTTAAACTAGCACTTCTGGTCCTTGTAGGGGAATGACAAGTTCAGTCTCATTTGTTGAACGCAGCTAGGAAGGTCTTGAGCCAGGCTGTCTCCTTTATTGTTGGTGACGTATTAAATACTTATTCCAGTAATAAATAAATCCTTCCCAATTTTCACTCTGTCAGTGTATAAGATGTCATTTGGGGGTCTTAATGGCAAAACATAACTGCATTTTGTTACGCTTCTAGACTAACCTGCTTTAGTTTCTCAGCCAAGTAATATTAATCTGTAGCCCTCTCCCCCCTGAGTGATATACCACTCTATTATTGACAAGGATATTAGGAATGCTCCATTTCTGCATTCAAGAAACCAGAAGTAAACCAGGTCATAGTACCTGGGAGATGTTGGGCTGGAAGGTGCTATATAAGGTCCTCGTCTCCACATGTTCAGGTACCAAACCCTGGGTTCTGAGGATATGAAGGGCTAGCCGCTCTTCACCTGGACCAAGGTGCTGATGCAAAATTTTGTTAGCTTCTGAAATAAAAGAAATGGAAAAAGAACAGGGGCTTATGAATCAGAATTTGAACTTTTTAAAAAATTTAAAATCAGATATTTAAAATTGAGCAGAAAACTGGTCAACATTAAAAAAACCCCAAAGATTTATTCTAATTTTCCGTAAATGACTGAAAAGTTTTAACTTTGTATCAATATGAATTTAAGACAAAAATACAAGTGAACAAGCTCACCCGCTTCCTCCAAAGTATAGTCTCGTCCCCCGTAGTTAATCTTTCTGCCATTCTCAGAGAGGACAGGAGGAGCATAGCCTTTAAACCTGGCTACATTTTGCAATAACTGGGTTGGTTTTAGTTGATCACGCCAGGTATTCACACCTGAACTTTTAGGAAAGCAACAGAAACACATTCTAAAGTTATTCACCATTCAGGGCATTTACACGTCATGTAAAATACATTTATTACACTAATTCAGAAAGGGCAGCACTGTAACTGGTGCTGACTGAGGGCACTTGAGTTTGGTACAGTGACATAATTTTGTACCAGCTCTATTACCTTGCATGACAGAGTGCTTTTTTCTTTACATATCAAAATAATTTACACTAACAGAAGCTTTCATATTTATTTCTGTTAAGTGTGTGTTCTCTGGACAGAAATAACACACATTATCATATAAAGAGAAAATAAAAAGTTTGACATCATGGTTTTCAGTCAAGGCTCTTCTGAAGACTTTGTAGCTTAATGTGGAATTCAAATGATAAAGTGAGCACAACAAACACTCATGAGAAGCCATAGCATCATTTTTTAACTGTATAATTAAGATCAAGGAAGCCCAGATTTTTTACAGAGGCTGGGTACTAGATCTTACAGATAATAATTTTCAGTAGACAAAATGACTTACATGCAATACTGCTGTGGGATGCCACAGTGAGATCCATAACGAGAAAGGAATCTGTTCTCAAGATCAATTACAGTTTCACCCACTTTTTCATCACGAGTCAATGTGTCATAGTCATAGACTGAAATTTTCAGGTCCTTTTCTTGAGGCAAGAAGCAGCTGAGTTCATACATTCTAAACGTAAAAATGTCTAGTTAACACTATTGCTCTTTTGAGCAATGCTTTTTATTTTTGAACTTAAAAAACCCCCAACAAATCACTTTTTAGTTTATTTTTGAGCAATAGACTTTATAAGATTAAAGAGATGCTTCCAATGCTGACAAATCTAGCAGTAGTTACCACACATGCTCCAGTTTCTATTTACTCTTATTAATATTTCTGTTTGTACTCCTATGGATATTACATCCTTCATTTCTGCACAATGTGTAACTTAGATGTTTTCTGTGCAGCAACTTAAATCGGGACTGAGAAAGAAACTAGTGTGGCTCTGCCATCCACTCTGTAAAAAGGATGGTTGTTCAATCCACAGTTTCTGTATGATGAGAAATTTTAGATTTTTTTTTTAACCACAATACAAACACAGTTGGAGCCTTAAAAGATACGGTCCACATGTTTAGCTTCTATGTCTAGAAGGGATTTCTGTCATCTAGCTGTCCTACACAAAACACTGTAGTGTTTTCTCAAATTAATTATCTGAATTTACTTTCAAGATATGCAGCCTTGTGGTTTCTACTGCTGCTGAATCCATGACCCTTGAGGTAAAGTATTCCATGGTTAGTTATTCTCTGCATTGTTTTTGTTTGTTTGTGTTATTTCTAGTCCAAGTTTTTAACTTTGACTTCCAGAATCAGCTCTCTTTGCTGTCTATTTCTTTGCATAATCTGAACAATTGAAATCCTGTAGCATGCCATTGCAAAGTATGCTTTCCAAACTCTTTTTAATTCTTCTAGTCCTCCTCTCCTAACTTTCTAATTCATCAAAATCTTCCTCTAACTCTGGACCCCAAACCAGACCCAGAATTTCATTAGTAATTATAAAGATGATATAAACTCTCCATTCCTAATTAGTGTTTTTCTATTCATATATTTCAAAGATATCACTAGCCTTTGAAGGAAAGACCAGTGTACTGAGAATACATGTTAAGCTGATTACTCATCATGACATCCAAGTAGTTTTCAGAGCTAAAACTTTTGCCATATTCTATAAGCTTATTTTGTTATTATTGTATGCACAACTTAGGGTAGTTTTAAGATATGTACATTGTTTGACTGTGCAATTTACCCATGTGATACATAAAATCTGTAGCCAAACACCTGTGTTGTCCAATGATTTCAAAGGGAAATACCTTATGCAACTTTACTTACAATTAACTGTCAGTATAACCCTATGAATAGAGCACTGGATATTTCAAACTATGGCTTATGTTAAAAAACAGGAAAACATTCTAAAATACATTAAATTGAAAATACAAAAAAGTTTGTTACCTGCCAAAAATTGGGTTGAGAGTATTAGGCACATAATTATCTCTGTCTTCTATTACTTTTTTACTTAGGGATAGTTTGATATAAGGATCACACTATTCAAAATGAGAAAAAAAATATTATTAAGAAGAAATAGTTATCAAGACTAACTTCATTTAAAATATACTACAGCAGACTTAGCTCACAGACATTCCAAAACCAAAAAGTCTCACCAGCCCATTATTATCCTGGGGTTGAAGTTGCAAAGCTCGAACAATATAAATCCGTACAATACACTCCTGAGGCCCACTGTCTGGTAGCTCACGGAACTGGCGAGGAGGAGCTGGAATAGTGGGATCATCAGGTAATGCATAGATTTTAAAGGATCCCTAAAAAATAATATAAAGACTCAGTCAAGGTAAATGCAGAAAAGTCACTCTGCTAGGTTTATTTTTTCTTATTTACCTACACACCGTGTTTTATATAGGAATAGCAAAATCATAGCCTGATCCACAGTCACTTCTTAGAAGTCTTTTATTTTACTTGAGTGGGTTTTTGGATAAGACTTCGTTATATCTTCAGCCAATTTAAATCAATACAGTTCTTTTGAGTTCAACACAATTACTCAGTTTGTTCCAGCCAGGAACACGTAACATGTACTTCATGTTCGTTTCCTTCTTCAAAAGCAACATTTACTGTTTGGGGTTTTTGTGTGCGTGTGCGTTTTTTGTTTTAAATGCAATCACAACATTATTTTAATCTTTAAAAGTAATAGACAGAGGCACAGAAATAGTACATAACACCTTTTCTAAATTAATTCTAAAAATGGACTTTGCTCAGAACATCTGCAGGTGAAACTTTAGCCTGTTCAAGAGGTTATCTGCAAAGGTTCTGTTTCT